CCTGTGCTCATGTCCTGGGCGTGGTGCTCCCCCAGCAGGGGTCTCTCCCCACAGGGACTCACAGAAGGGCCTTTGTGTTGGTCCCGGAACTAGCTAGAGTGGTTCTGGGGGAGTGAGTGCTCGTGCACCTAGGCTGCTTGGCTGGTCCCAGGAGGGAGCCCCAGCCTGGTGAGCGGCTGCCCCTGCCATGGAGCCCATCCCAGGGTTGACTGGCTTCCACAAGCTCCTCTGACCAAGAGCTTGGGTACCCGGCACTACCCAGCATGTTGCCCCCTGGGAAGATGGCAGCCGGAGCCTCTCCTCCACATGCGCCCCTCAGCGAGCCCTGGGACCAGGCTGCCCAAGGAAGGCCGCAGCATTGCGGGCTTGGCACTGACGTCTCCGTGACCTAGAACACGTGGGCTGGGCCAAAGACTTGGGCCAGGGGCTGGGTTTCACCCTCAGCCTGCCCATCCTTCTGCCTCCACCCCGAATCCTAACTTGGAGGTGCAGGTGGCCAGCCCAGACACACCCTTGTCGGTCGCCAGGGAACGGGGCAGCTCTTCATTGTAGACCTTCTGTCGGAAAGCCTGCCTCGGGAGGGGAAGGCATTGCCATAGGCTGGTGGCGTCACCGGCCTCAGCCCGTGGACAGTGGGGCTCGTCACTGAGGTTCCGTCGATTTAGAGCCCCCGGTCTGGGCTGCTCCCTATCTTGTAGGTTTGGGGCCCTCCCCGTAGCAGGTCCTGTGCCTGCTGATGGGTGGAGAGCACAGGGTGTGGGTGAGGAGCCGCCAAGCCTGCCTGTCGGCTCTCGCCAGCCCCTTCCCTGGTGGGATGCTCTGCTTGATGCTGGGGCATGAGGGCCGATGAGCCCGAGGGCCAGGACACTGCTGTCACCCTCATCTCAGGGGAAGAGACTTGGGGGGAAGGCAGATTGCTCACTGCCTGTTCTGTATCCCCAGCTTCCTCGAGTTGATGGAGGCACGCAGCCGTGGCCATGCGTCCCCACTGGCAGCCAACGGGCAGAGCCCATCCTCAGGCTCCCAGTCTCCAGTGGTGCCTCCCAGCGCTGTGTCCACAGGGAGCTCCAGCCCCGGCACACCCCAGCCAGCCCCACAGCTGCCCCTCCACACCCCCTCGGCCGGCCCCTGCCCCCCACCCCCCATGGAGGCCCCACTGCCCCCTGCAGCCCCTGCCCCTCGGCGCAGCATCATCTCGAGGCTGTTTGGGACCTCGCCAGCTGCCGAGGCAGCCCCTTCACCCCCAGGTGAGCCCCGAGAGCGGAGCAGGTGGGTGTGGGTGGCCCCAGTGGTGGAGCACTGGCCCCATGAGCTTGCAGACCAGGACAGGGTCTTCCTCCTTCCTCCTGGGCAGGCGGCCCCACAACCCAGTCAAATGGGTACAGCCCGGGATAGGCCCGGTGGGGGCGGGCGTTGGACAAGTGGGAACTGGCCTCTCCTGTCCACAGAGCCGGCCCCAGCTGCAGAGGCCCCCACCAAAGTCCAGAACGTGGAGGATTTCGTTCCCGAAGAAGGCCTTGACCGGAGCTTCCTGGATGACACGGTACCCCAAAAAGATGAGGAGAAAGTCGGAGCCAAGGTCCTACAAGACAGTGACAGGTAGGGGCAGAGGCCGGGCGGGACCTCAGTCTTCCCCCAGCCTCCCCCAGCTCTGGGTGAGCCGAGGGGACAGGCCCCACCAGTTCGGCAGCATCTCAGAGGGAAGGGTTCCGTGAAGCCCCGCACCCCAGGAAGAAGCCTGCTCAGACCAGCCGTCAGGCCACTGCGTTGGTGACGTGGGCTGGGCCTCAGGCTCCACGAGCTCCCTGCCCACAGAGAGGGAGCAGGAGGAGTGAGGCTGGCCTGACCCTGCACGTTGGTGCCCATGACCCACCGTCAGCACCTTCTTGGGCAGAAACCATTGAGAGCATGGGCACTGGCAGGAGAAGCCCAGGGCCGGAGAGCAGCCACCAGGGCCTCCCCGTGACGGGCAGACAGAGCAATTCAGACCTGGCCTCCTGCCCCTGCTCCTCACCCCTCATCATCGGCTCCTAGGCCTCTCCTGCACGTGCTTCCCCGCACCGCACTGAACGCAGGTCGGACCCACTAGTCCCCAGCATCCCCGGGTCCCTCCAGCCCAGGCTCCTCCCCCAGTACCAGAAACACCCCCAGCCCATCCCTGCCCACGCCCTGCACCCCACCATCATGCAGGAGGGTGCCCACTTCACACATCAACAGCAGGCCCCACCATGGCTTCTTGCTGCATGCTGGTATCTCCGGCCCTCTCCTTGGCCCCCACCTCGCACCCCAGCCCCCGCGCTGGCCTGCGCCCCTGCTATACCACATACACCAGTGGGTTCCCTTGCAGAGGGGCCCCCGAGACCTAGACCGCCCTTGCAGCAGGTCCCGTGTCTGTCCTCCCACAAATGTTGAGTGCCAAGGGTAGACCAGCCTCCGTCAGTGCCCACGCCATGCACAGAGAGGACCTCCGGTGCCTGTGGGTGCCAGGGGTCTGGAGCTCGGGGTGGGAAGCTGGGCTCTCTGTACCGCCCTGCTAACCTCTGACCACCCTGCCCGTCCCCCCTTTGCAGCGATGGGGAGGCCCCAGGTGGGAACCCGCTGGTGGCAGGTTTCCAGGATGACGTGGACGTTGAAGATAAGCCGCCCGGCAGGCCCCGACTGCCCCTGGGCCCCAGGGAAGGCGTGACTTCTTCCAGTGAGGAGGAAGCAGAGGGGGTGGCGGCGCACCCCAAGACCACTGTCCTGGTCCCCGAGAAGTGCTCTGAGCCAGAGACCAAACGGTATGTGGACGGGACCCGTCCCAGGGGCGGGGGCGGCCGAGGGCCCCCTGACCTCTTCCTTGTCCCGAAGGTCCTCCACAAAGGCCGCGAGGCTGCACAGGGCTGCAGTTCCCAGGGCTGCGGAGTCCCGCCGGCCAGGCGTCCGCAAGTCCCCCACCGAGGACCCCTCTGGAGGGCGTGAGGAGGGCAAGGACCAGCAGGCAGCATCATCAGAGAGTGACCCTGAGGGGCCCATCGCCGCCCAGATGCTCTCCTTTGTCATGGACGACCCCGACTTTGAGAGCGACTCGGACCCTCAGCGGAGAGCGGTGAGAAGGGGACTTGGCACCCACTCAGCTTGGAAGCCCTGGGGACAGTCTCGGGCAGGAATGGCAGGAAGGAAAAAGCGCCTGGCGACATCCCCAGGGAGAGGCTGCAGCGTCCTGGCCCCCGCATTGGTCCCTGCTGGCCACCCTGATTCCAGGTTGGGTGGCAGGGTCTTTCGAGGTGGCTTGTCACCTGCCTGAGAAATGCAGGAGCCCTCCCACGGGGGTCACATGATGGAGGGTGCTGGGGAGGACGCTGGCCGCCCAACCTGCCGGCTCCTTCTCCAGGATGAGTTCCCAGTGCGAGAGGACCTCTCTGACGAGACAGATGAGGATGCTGGTCCTGCCCAGCCGCTCCCACCCCCCAAGCCCCCTGTGTCCTCCTTCAGACTGAAGAATGACTCGGACCTCTTCGGGTTGGGACTGGCGGAAACGGGCCGCAAGGAGATCAGCGATGAAGGTAGTTTGGGGGCCCGGGTGGGCTGGGGGTTGTGGGGTGCATGCCAGGACCATGCTGGAAGGACGGGCAGCAGGGGGCACCTGGCGAGTGTCTGCTCAGGTGGCATTTGATGGCCTGGCAGGGTGGCTGCGAGCAGCATGCGCTTCAAGTCCCGCCACCTCTGGGAAAAGCCGCATGGTCGGTAGGCCTGTGGAGCTCTCATGGCGCCTTGTGGCCCCGGGCCGCTGCACGGCTCCCTGTCCCTGTCCCTACCCTCCATCCTGGGCCCCCTGAGCCCAGCTCAGCGCTCACGTGAGACGTGTCCCAGAAGTTCCTTGTCCCCAAAATGGAGAGGAAAGGACCCTCCCAGGCTCGTGCTAGGGCAGAAGTGTGTCTGCCCGTCGGCAGGTATGTGCTCTGGGCTCCCACGGGTCTCAGCGCACCTTCCGGGCCGTGCGAGCCACCCAGGCCCCCCCTCCCCACGCAGGCCGAGAAGCCGCAGGCCCATGCTGTGTCTTCTCTGCAGATAAGGAGGGCAAGCCTCCCACAAAAGAGAAGAAAAAGAAGAAGAAGAAAGGCAAAGAGGTAGGCACCCTGCCTCCCACCTCCCAGGTGCCTGCTAGGCAGTTTGGAGTCCTGGTGCCCCCACAACCTGAGTTGCCCTCTTCCCAGGAGGAAGAAAAGGCCGTGAAGAAAAAGAGCAAGCATAAGAAGAGCAGGGACAAGGAGGAGGGCAGGCAGGAGCGGCGGCGGCGGCCCAGGGCTACAGAGAGGACCGCTGTGGATGAGCTGGAGGCCTTCCTGGGGGGCGCAGCCCCGGGTGGCCACCTCCGCGGGGGCGGGGACTACGAGGAGCTCTAGGCCTAGCACCGCCCACCCGCTGGGGTGGGGACGGGCCACAGGCCCACTCCTCGCTCCTGGGGCTGCTGAGCCCGCCCTGCAGGGAGTGGGCTGGCGGGTGGTGGGTGCGGCTCTGCGGGCAGCCGGTCCCCAGCGCTTCTCAGGGATGGGACTGAGGCCCAGGAGGCCGCGAGGCTGTTTACAGGGCGGGGCACGTCCTCGTCACCGGCCTGGCTCCTGCTTGCCCCCAGCCCGCTGCACTCGCTCTCCCAGGCCCCCCCCCCCCCGCCATGCGGGTGGGCTCCGCTTCCTGCCCCTTCTGGCATGGGGGACAGACCCCAGGCAGCACCGGCACCTTTCCCGGGCTAGGGTCCAGCTTTGCACCTGCGCTGGGCTTGCTGCCAACCAGGCCGGGGGGTCCTCAGACTCTGTTTCCTCTTGTTCTCCTTCAACACTCCGACCATAAAGCTCTCCTGTTTTACTGTGTGTCTGTGTGCGCTTCGCCCTGTACGCAGCTCTGCCCCAGCTCCATCTGTCCCAGGTCACCGTGGGTGGGTCTGAAGGTTCTGAGTTCCCTGCCTCTTTCCCAGAGAGGCAGCTGCTCCTGGATAGGAGGCCTTGCAGCCCCACGTAGCCCAGGGAGGTGGTCTGCAGAGGCCTTCCCGGCAGGCCCAGCCCCACGTCTGTCCGGTCTTGTGTAGGCTGGGTGACCTAGCCATTGTCCCGCGCAATGTCCTGCCAGGGCTAGACAGCTGTGCCCAGGAACACCTGCGGGCCCCCAGCCCTCCTACGGCAAGTGCAGGTCTGCTCTGCTGGCCTGTCCCAGCCACCTTCTGGTCGGCCTTCAGCCCAGCATCTCCCTGCAGACCCCGCCCCCTCCGGCTGCCAGCAGCGCCCAGCCCCCACCCACCTCCCCACAGTTGCCATGAGAACCATGCCCACGGTGGGAGGGGGGGGTGGTAGCCAGGCCTCCCCTCAGTCCAGAAGGCCTCCCCTTCCCCACTTCCTGTGCCTAGACGAAACCATGGCACGGGGCCGGAGGCCAAGCACCAAGCTGACACCTTAGGGACTTGCTTTAGTCCACAGCCTACGAGATCAACTGCCCGTGTGGAGCCCACTAAACGTGGGGAATCAGGCTGACATGAAATGAACTTGCCCAGGGCCCTGGATCTAACGGACCCACGACAGGGCAGGTCCTGCCCTTTGGAGCCAAGGGCATCCATGACTCAACCCTCTGCCAAGTCAGACTGTGCCCTGGCTCAGCATCTTGTTTGGGAGGGGCTGGGAGGCCTAGAGGGTGGAGGTCCCCGTGGTTTGTAAGTGGACCACGTGCAGACCGGCCCAGGGCAGCGACAGCCCTCCACTCACCTAGACCCTGACCCCCAGGGAGCCCAGGAGTGTGCCCTTGCCCAGGAGAGTCTGAGCATCCTGGGGACAGGAGGCTGCAGGCCTCACTCGGCCCCAGGTACCCGCAGAATTTGGCACCTCCGGCTCGGCAGCGCAGAGGCCAGCGGGGCTGGGAGCGGCCCATCTGCTCCTGCAAGGGCTCAGCGGAGGTGTGAATTCTGGGAGCTGTCTGCGGCCCAGCCAAAGCTTGGGGCTCCTCCAGGGCCCTGCCCCAAGGCCACCGCCAAGCCACCAGCTGCCCTTGGCGTGGGGGGGGGGGGGCACGGCTGGAGGTGGGGACTAGCAGGACGGGCAAGGTGCTCCCTGGGTGTGGGCACCCCGGTTGGACCCTAGGCCTGCACCTTGGAAATGAGGGAGAACTTGTCACCTGGCGCTCAGCACCAACACACAGCTGGTGGGCCACACGGGTCCCAGGCCCACCGCACGGCCCCTTTAAGTGCAGCCCCGCCGGCCGCCACCGGAGGCAGCACTGAGCGGCCGGCGGCCTCCGCGCCGCTGCCTCGAAGCTTCTGCCGGTGCCGGGGACGCCGCGGAGCGCCGAGCGGGGAAGGCGGAGCGGGCGCAGGCCTGCGCAGCCCACCGGGCGCGCGCGGTGGGGAAGCAGCGCCCAGGTAAGGGGTCGCGGGCCGCTGCCCCACGGGCCCTATCACGGGGCGGGGGACACCCGCAAGGATGGGGGCCCAGCCCGGAGCTACACCAGCGGGTCCCGACTCTGGGCGCTCAGGGCGGGGGCAGGGCTGTGCGGCGGGGAGGGCCGCGGGAGGGGCTCGTTAGGCCTCCGACCCCTGCAAGGCCGACCATCCCCATGGCCTCGGGGAGGGGCGCCACCCAGTCCAGCTCCTCACCGCAGCAGAGGCAAAGCCGGGCTGTCACCTCCCTGGGGCGGAGCCTCATGCCCTGTCATCGGACCCCCAATCCGGGCCTGGCTTTGAGCTTCGGATGGAAAGGGGGTGAGAAGGGGACAGTCCTGTGAACAGGGACGGAACTGGGGTGGGCGCAGGGCTGGGATGGGACAGGCACCCAGGCGTCATGGCCCTGACCCAGAAGAGCAGCCGTGCGGGCAGAAAGCCCCTGGCACCCTGGGACACAGAGAGTCTACCTGACCAGAGATCCTGCCAGGTGAGGGCCCAACCCCCGGCTCGCCCTCGCTCAGCCTGGGGCATGCTTCCCAGTTTGTTTGAGGAGGGGGCCGTCAGCATCGCTGGAGACCCGACCCAACCTGTCCAGAGACCCTGTGCACCAGAGGGGCGGGTGGCCCCAGTCCGAACATTAGCCCAGTGCACAGAGTGGACCCCAGCCCAGCCCCCACTGCGGGGGCAGAGGAACCTCAGGTTGCCATGGAGCCTTCCTGAGCTGTTGTGGAGAGGGCCCTCTCCTGAGAAGCAGTGAACAAGGGGGGGGCTTTACCCACCCACCACCCTGCCTCCCCTGCTTGCGGCCTGGCCTGGTGCGCTGCTCAGGGGAAGAGGGGCAGCCATGAGCTCGTGGCTCACGCCCCCACGTGGTCCTGCAGTCGGTGCCTGGTTTCCCAGCTGCAGTGCACAGGCTGCAAAGCTGGGGAGTGGCTCTCCGGTCCTTGTCATGACAACCCCAACAAGCTTGGTGGGTTTCAACCACCCCAAGATATTGGGGATCAGAGAAGGTTTCTGCAAAGGAACAGGGGTTTTAGGGCCCAGGGATGCTCTTTGTGGGGCATTATTCTGGCCTGGGCCACACGGAGGGTTAAGAGTTGGGCAGGTCAGTCCGTCAGTCCAGGGGCCATGCCTGGACCTGATGGGGCCATGTCAGTGCCCACTGGGGCCTCCCAACTGGAGTTTGGTTCAGGGGACCATTCCCAGTGCAGCTGCCACTGCAGTCCTGGGGGAGGGACTCCATGCCCCACCTGGTCAGCAGGTGGGTAGGGAGGCTCAGTGTCTTTGTGCAGAGCTGGCTAGGGCTGGGGCCCCTGCACTCCCCCTCAGACAGCACCATCGGAGGGCTTGCTATGCACTGGGCACTAGGAGGGGGCTTGAGTCACCAACAGGTTTTGTGAGGCCAACACCTATAAAGCAATCTGTAAATAAGGCTTCCCATGAGCATCCAGTCATTGCAGCTGGGACCCCCACCCCCATTGTTCCTGCCCCAGGAAAGGGGTTCTACCCAAACCTGTCCAGTGGTCACTACTGGGGGCAGAGGGGCCATCCAGGGATAGGGGCCCGGGGGGGCAAGAGCTCGGGAACCATAGCAATGGCATGGCTTTTCTGGCTGACTGGCTCCATCCCAGCAGAAAGTGGCCCTGAAAGGATGGCCTGGGGCAAGGGGCAGGACCTGAGTGGCTGGACACGTGGGTTCCTCCTGCAGGTGCTTCTGACGCCGGCATGGAGCAAGCGCCTGCGGCCTCAGCCAAGGCCCGCAGCCAGGACTGCTACGTCCACGGCGTCCCAGGTAAGTCAGGTCAGCGCAGGGGTGCCTCCAGGCCTGGGTTGCAGAGGGGACACCCTGACCCGCATCTCCCACCAGGCCAAAAGCCCCCCAAGGCAGAGTAAGCTGCAACCACCAGCCTGGGGACCTCTTTTAAGATGACCCGCACGGACCCGCCGGACCTGTTGGTGTCGACCGTGTACCAGGACATCAAGGTGGCGGCCCCGGGGCCCGCGTCGCGGCGCCCGCCATGTGAGCGCTCTGTGGCCCCGCCTGCTGCGCCCGCGCCTTTCAACAAGCGTCACTGCCGCAGCTTCGACTTCCTGGAGGCGCTGGACGGGGCGGCCATGGAGGCCCGCACAGAGCCGCCGCCCCCGGAGCCTGCCGCGCCGCGCGCCCGGCCCCGCGACGGCGAGCCCCGGCGCCGCGCCCGCTCCAAGAGTGCGCCCCGCGCGCCCCCGGGCCTGACGCCCGCACCCGCCTCGCCGCCAGTGCTACCGCGCCGCGGCCGGGAAGCCCAGCGGCCAGCGCGGGCCGAGGCGTCGCCGCACCGGGAGCCTGCGTACCCCGCGCTGCGCGCGCTCGCCAATGAGCTGCACCCCATCAAGCTGCAGCCGCAGCGGGGCGGCCCTGGCCGCATCGCGCCCCTCTGCGCCACCACCGGCCGCTGCGCGCCCCCCGAGCCACCCGCCGGGCCTGCACCCCACGTCCGCTGTCGCCTGGACATCAAGCCCGACGACGCGGTGTTGCAGCACAGCGCCCGGGGCTCGCGGTCCTGCGGGCCCGCGGAGACGACGCCCTGGGCCCGCGCCGCCCCGCAGTTCCACGGCCTCACAGTGCCCGGGCCTCGCCACATGGCGCTGTCGCGCACGCCCACCCCCAGTGACACGTACTGTGCGGACCCCCGGGCGCTGTACTGTGACGGTCCGCTGCCTGGGCCCCGGGACTATACCGAGCGCCGAAATCTGCCCTTCACCTCGCCGCCAGGCCCCACCCAATTCTTCTACACAGAGGAAGCCGAGGGCCACCCTGGCGGCTTTCCGGCCAGCCCTGGGCCGCCCTTCGACAGCTACTACGCCAGGCCCTTCCCGCCCGAGGAGCCCGCCGTGCCCAGCCCAAGGCGCAGTAGCGGCTACTACGCGGGGGAAGTGCGCACCTTCCCAGTCCAGGAACCGCCCTCCCGCTCCTACTATGTGGAGGCCGCTCGAGCCTACGGACCGCCCTGCGGCCCGCGCTATGCTCCCGACGAACTGCGGGCTCATCCCCCCCTCCGCCCCTTTTACACAGAGGACTTCGGGCGGTACCGCGATCGCGATGCCCTGGCTCGGACTTACCCACACCCCCGCGGCAGCCCCGCCTGGGGTGACTGGGGCCTGCGGCCTTACCGCACCCTGCAGGTGGTGCCTCCTCCGGACCCTGGCCCATTGCTCGCCTCTTGGCACGGGGTCACCGGCACCAGCCCGCCCCGGCTGGCCACTGACAGCCGCCACTACTCTCGCTCCTGGGACAACATCCTGGCGCCCGGGCCGCGCCGGGAGGACCCCCTGGGCCGCGGCCGCAGCTACGAGAACCTGCTGGGGCGCGAGGCCCGGGAGCCGCGGGGCGCATCCCCCGAAGGCCGGCGTCCACCCGTCGTGGTGAACCTGTCCACCTCTCCTAGACGCTATGCGGCGCTGTCACTGTCAGAGACGTCACTGTCAGAGAAGGGCCGCGGGGGCGAGGGCCTGGGCCGCAACTGGTATGTCACACCTGAGATCACCATCACCGACAACGACCTGCGCGCCGCAGAGCGTCCGGCTGCCAGGGGCTGGGAGCTGCCCGGGGGGCGGCCCCGGCGGTCTCCGCCCGCCGCCCCCGAAGGCCCCACTGGTGGCCGCCAGCGCAGCCTCGAGCAACTGGACGAACTCATCACCGACCTGGTCATCGACTCTCGGCCCCCGGCCGGCCAAGCCCCGGAGCCCGCGGCCAATGGCCTGGGCCGCCAGCCGCGCCGCCTGCTGGACTCTCGGCCCGCGGGCCCCGGGGCACCCGCGCTGGCGCCGCGCTCGCCACCCGCGTCGGCCGGCAGCACCGAGGAGCCCGCGGGCCCGGGGCAGGCGGCCGACGGGTCCCCGGAGCCCAGCGCCGACGAGGACGACCTGATGACATGCTCCAACGCGCGCTGCCGGCGCACCGAGACCATGTTCAACGCCTGCCTCTACTTCAAGTCCTGCCACAGCTGCTACACCTACTACTGCTCGCGCCTGTGCCGCCGCGAAGACTGGGACGCGCACAAGGCGCGCTGCGTGTACGGCCGCGTGGGCAGCGTGTGCCGCCACGTGCTGCAGTTCTGCCGGGACAGCGGCCCGGTGCACCGCGCCTTCTCGCGCATCGCGCGTGTCGGCTTCTTGTCGCGCGGTCGCGGCGTGCTCTTCCTGGGCTTCCCGAGTCCGGGCTCTGCAGACAACTTCCTGCGCTTCGGCCTCGAGGGCCTGCTGCTGTCGCCCACCTACCTGTCTCTGCGCGAGCTGGCCACGCACGCGGCGCCCCTGGGCAGCTATGCGCGCGAGCTGGCGGCCGCCGGGCGCCTCTACGAGCCGGCCGAGTGCTTCTTGCTCAGTGTGTCGGTGGCCGTGGGCCCCGGCGCCGCGCCCCCCGGCGCCTCCGCCCGGCCTGCGCCCGCGCCGCGCAGTGCCGGGCCCACGGTACGCAAGTTCGCCAAGGTGGCGCTGGCGGCCGGCAGCCCGGCGCGTCCGCCCCCGGCTCGGGGTCGCGAGCCCGACATGGAGACGCTGATCCTGACTCCGCCGCCCGGCACGGCGGGCCTGGACCAAGAGGGCGAAGCAGGCCGGCGCGCGCGCGAGGTGGCCTTCATCCACATCCAGCGGGAGCTGCGGCTGCGCGGCGTCTTCCTGCGCCACGAGTACCCGCGCGTCTACGAACAGCTCTGCGAGTTCGTCGAGGCCAACCGGCGTTTCACGCCCACCACCATCTACCCCACGGACCGGCGCACCGGCCGCCCTTTCATGTGCATGATCATGGCTGCCTCCGAGCCACGCGCGCTGGACTGGGTGGCCAGCGCCAACCTGCTGGACGACATCATGTGAGCCGCGGGGTCGCGCCGGGCTCCGCCCAGCCCGCTCAGGGCCCGCCCACTCCGGCCCCGCCCAGTCCACGTAGGGCCCACCCCCGAGCTGCGCCCCGTCTACTCAGACACCGACCGCCCAGTCCGTCCAACGCCCACTACGAGCCCGCACAGCCCTCTCAGGGCCCGCGCAGTCCACCTGGGGCCTGCCCCCGAGCTCTGCCTGCCTACTCAGACCCCGCCCAGCCCACCGGGAGCCCCGCCCAGCCCCTCAGGCCCGGCCGTGCTCCCCCGAGTCTTCCACCTGTTCGCCACAAGCTCCGCCCAGACCCCGCCCTCTGGAGTGAGCAGGCCCCGCCTTTCCCTCCCCCTCCCCCAGCTAGCCCTGGGGCGTCCGCGGAGGCCGGTCCTCGGGCCCCTTGGTGCTCCCCGCTGGGAGGCGGGGTGGGCCTGAGGACCGCCCGGCCCTGCCTTCAAGAGGACGGGTCACTACTGCAGACCCCACCGCAAAGATCCGGTTAGCCCACTTCCTGACGTCCACAAGGCCTCCCTGGAACCTCCCCAACCCTGATTTGCCCTGATCCAGGAGCCCGGGTTGACCAAAGCCTAGTCCCGTCCCTTTAACATGCCCCCACCCCTTTCCTGTGGCTTGGGGTGCGTCCTGCTCCGAGGCCGTTCCTCTCTGGAGGACACCCTGACTAGTCCCGGTGTGTTCGTGTCCCGAGCAGACAAGGCTGGTGGGAGCCCTGCACGGCCCGTTCCCGCTGGCTCAAGCCCCGGCTAGAGAGAGCACAGCTGGACCCCGAGCCCGCACATTGGCGGCGCTCCCCGTCCTCCGGCCGCCCTGACACGGGCCCTGCAGGAGGGTTTGGGGGAAGCAGCAACGGAGGGGGTACCTGGGAGGGGAAAAGAGGACGTGGGTGTGGACGCTGGCAGGATCCATCCCAGAGCTGAGTCCCGGCAGGGCGTGAGTCAGACTGTCTGCCCAACACCGACAGGAGGCCCCTAGGTGGGTGCCAGGATAGAGTGGGAGGAGGGAAGCAGATGCATGGGGTGGATGAGGGGAAGGAAACGTAGAGGCGGTCCAGAAGGGGCTCCTACCCGCTAACGTAGGGGGGGACAAAAAAGATTGGACGTTCCCAGTTGGGAGCGGGTGCCGGAGCGAGCTAGTTGACCAGGGCGGGGTCCACTGGAGGGGTGGGGGTATGACTACACGAACGGCCTCGCGTGCTTGCTCTGGCCTTGCCCTATGCTGTGGGCTGGAGACACGAGGCTGGCGGCCAGGCTCCGGTCCCGGGAGCGCACATTCATTGGTCCACGGCCCTCGCTCAGTAAGTGCGAGTGACCCTGAGAGGGAACTAGGCCGGGCCTCGCAAGAGCCCTCCTGGAGCTCCCGGCACTCCCCATCGCGGCCAGGAGAGGACATCAATTGAATGGTGAACGTCCCCCACACCTCTATTCCCGGCTCTCGCCCCCGCCCCGTGCACTCCCGCCCATCCCCCCAACGCCTGCGCGCCCGCCTTGGCCTAGCGCGTTTGCACCCGCCACGCGCCCCGCTCACCCCACCCGCCTTCGCGGCCTCCCAAGTCCGGCCGCCCCGCCCCCTCCCCCCCGGGACCTCAGCTTTCCGCCCAACGCCTGAGGGCTGGCTGGCCAGGAATGACCCTGGGCCGGGATTATTTCCAGGGGGCGAACGCTTTCCAACCAAGTAAAACAGAACTCAAATTAGACATTGCTTCCTCTTTGGGGGTGGGGAGTTGTGGGTGGGACTTGGACGGAGGACCTCCGACCGGCTGGGCCCGGCCGGGCGGGTGAGGGAGGGAAAGGAAGAGGGCCTTGGGATGAGGTGGGAGGACAAGGAGGAGGCCTTGGGACGCGGTGGGGGACGGGGCAGAGGGCCTTGGGATGCGATGGGGGACGGAGGTCCTTGGGACTCGGTGAAAGGACAGGGAGGAGGGCCTTTGGACGCGTTGGGGGACGGGGAGGAGACCTTGGGACATGTGGGGGACGGGGAGGAGGCCTTGGGACACTGGGGGGGACGGGAAGGAGGGCCTTTGGACGCGGTGGGGGACGGGGAGGAGACCTTGGGACACTGGGGGACGGGGAGGAGGCCTTGGGACGCGGCGGGATGGAGAGGAGGGCCTTGGGACGCGGTGGAAGGACGGGAAAGAGGGCCTTGGGACGCGGTGGAAGGACGGGAAGGAGGCCTTGGGACGCGGTGGGGGACGGGGAGGAGGCCCTTGGGACACTGGGGGACGGGGAGGAGGCCTTGGGACGCGGCGGGATGGAGAGGAGGGCCTTGGGACGCGGTGGAAGGACGGGAAAGAGGGCCTTGGGACGCGGTGGAAGGACGGGAAGGAGGCCTTGGGACGCGGTGGGGGACGGGGAGGAGGCCCTTGGGACGCGGTGGAAGGACAGGGAGGAGGGCCTTGGGACGCGGTGGGAGGCGGGGAGGAGGGCCTTGGGACGCGGTGGAAGGACAGGGAGGAGGCCTTGGGACGCGGTGGGGGACGGGGAGGAGGCCTTGGGATGCGGTGGGAGGACGCTGAGAGAGGACTCGGGACGCGGTGGGATGACGAGGAGGCGGCCTTGGGACATGAGGGTGAGGGGACGAGGAGAGATCAGGACCGGTGCGTGTCCCTTGGGTCTCACGGGCCGCCAAACCCCCTCTAAAGGAGCCCGCCACCGTCCCCGCTGCGCACTCCGCCTCCCAGACCCCGCTAAAAAGGAACTGCTCTGTTGGCTGGATTTAATCACCACCCACTCCCGGTTCCCAGTTCCCTGTTCCCCTTTAAGGGGGACCGGCGTGGCCTCAGCGTGCAAGGAGCTAGATTGCCATTGGCCAGTCTGTGCCGCAGGTGGGCGGCACGATTGGTTGAGGCTCTGGGCTCGAGCAGCATGCCCCCGCGCGATTGGGCACGGACTCCTAGAGCCCGCCTCTTGCACGGTTGACTCAACCCGGGATCGCTGGGGGAAGGGCCGCGGTCTGCAGGGGCGGGCGGGCTGTGGGGAACATGGCGGCGGCGGACCTCGCCCAGATCGCCGATGTGGACATCGATTCCGACGGCGTCTTCAAGTACGTGCTGATTCGAGTTCATTCGGCGCCACCGTCCGAGGCCCCGGCCGGGGAGAGCAAAGAGATCGTGCGCGGCTACAAGTGGGCCGAGTACCATGGTGAGGGCGGAGCCGGAGGGCGTTTTCGGGGCGGGGCTGAGGGCCGGGGCGGGGTCAGTCGGCTAAGGGGCGTGGTGGGGCGGGGGCGGGGCTTAGGGGCGTGGCGAGAGACGATCCTGTACCAGGTCTGAATCTGGGCTGGCTCAGGGAGTCAGGGTCCTGGAGGGCAAGGGGCTGCCATGGCCCGACCCCTGTCTCCTAGTCCCAGCGCTCTTGCCCGGGTGCACGCCTTCCTCCCTTTCATGGCGTCCCAGCCTGGAGGGGCTCCTCTCCTGCAGAAGGAGCTGCTCAGAGCTGGAGCTTCAGATGCCCAGGTCCTCCGAGGGCCATGGCCGGTGCTGAGCTACCTTCCCTGTCCCAGCTGACATCTATGACAAGGTATCGGGCGAGATGCAGAAGAAGGGCTATAGTTGTGAGTGCCTGGGAGGCGGGCGCATCTCCCACCAGAGCCAAGACAAGAAGATCCACGTGTATGGCTACTCCATGGTGAGCCCACAGCCCGGGTGGGGGGTTGAGAGACCAGCTCTCACAAGCACTCGCTGCCCTGCACCCCGGAGGCCTGCAGTGCTGGGGGTTCTCTGGGCTGTCTCAGCTGCAGACCCCTCCCTCCAGTGGCTTGCCCATTTCCCACGTGGGGTGGGAGGGAGGCCCCTGCCTGCCCCCCCAGCCACAGGGGGCCATGTCCTGTTCCTACACCAGGCCTGGCTGGGCCATCACTGCCCTCCAGCTCTTGGAGACAGTCAGTTTTGGGGTGAAGCTCAGAAGCCCCTCCCTCTGCCTTCTCCAAGCCACAGTGGTTACCCCGTCTCTCTTGGCACCTGGGATAGCCCTCTAGCCCAGGGCCCACCCTCAAGGACTGCTCACCTTGGCAGCCACCTTTCCTCAGGAGAGCTCCCTGGGGCAATCAGGGAGGGATGGCCCCGTGTGGCTCCACCCGGGGACCCCTCCCCAAGCCAGCTCCTGGGTTTTGCTGCTGATGGACGCCCAGAGCCAGGATGGGGCTGTAAGATTGGCTTCTCTCTTCAGGGTTATGGTCGTGCCCAACACTCCGTCTCCACTGAGAAGATCAAAGCCGTGTACCCTGACTACGAGGTCACCTGGGCCGATGACGGCTACTGAGGCCTGCCCAAGGGGCCAGCTGTACCCCCTGGCCAGGCGCTGGAGACCAACACCAGCCTGGCCCAAGTGCCCCGGCTTACCTCACCCACAGGAATTAAAAATGTTATCACCCCTGCTGTTCCCCAGATGCTGTGTGTCTTGATTTTTCTGCTTCCCAGTCACCCCTGGGGATCCCTGACTAGAGGGGGTGGGTGGCAGAGAGCCGGGGGTGGCCCTGGAAACAGCGGGGCCCCTGCTGGCTGCCCCACACCCGGCTCCACATCTGGGGGCCCCAGGGAGTGGCAATGCACGGTCAGCCCTTTGCGGTCTGATAAGGGGGCCCCTGCGCCACTGCCCCCATTTATGGCCTGATTGCTCCTCCATATGGCTCCTATGTCCAAGGACATCTGGTAGGAGGCTCTTCGAGCCCTTGAGCAAGGAAGTAGCACCAGGTCCCTCGGGGCCAGCTGATACCAGTGTCCCCGCGTGATCTGCTGTTGGAGGTCACACGTGACGTGACCAGGACCCCTTCCAAGACCAGGTCCCACGGCACCTGACCCACAGCCACAGGCCCCTGCTCAAAGTAAACGGCTGAGGCTTCAGACTTGGAGCTGGGAGCCCCCTTCCCAGGACCCCCTCCCCTCCTCCCAGTGCAGGGCTGTGGGGGACCAGCTGTGGCAAGTGGATGTAGTACAGGGGAGGGGAGAGCCAGGCACGGCTAGCGGCTGTCCTGTGGCTCCCCGTGAGCATGGGTGCCATCTCGTGGTGCGTGCCTTCTGTGAGCTCACGGGAGCCTCCCGGTCGCCGCTCCAGGCAGGCGCTATTGTGACCACATGCCACCGATGAGGAGACAGGTCTGGTAAGGCAAGCTCCGGAGGTCCCACCGTGGTCAGTGGCAGCCAGACCCTGGGGTGTGTGCCTGGCAGCCCCCAGCCGCACTGCCCGGAACGGTTCTTGGATAAGTGATTGTCATTTAGCCTTGAATAAGCCAACTGGAAGCCACAGACTGGGCTCCGGAGAAGGATGAAGCCCCTGGTTGCTTGGGGCAGGGCCCCGGGGGGCACGGTGTGCATATATGGGGCTCCTGCTCCGAGCTCTGGGGGACCCCAGAGACTGACGGGGTCGCCGCAGCGCCTCCCCCACCGGGCCTCCACCAGGCAGGCACGACGACTGCGGCCCGACCTTTGGTCTGAGGGAGCTGGGCGGGTGGGAGGCGACCTGGGCCAGGGGCCCCTCTCCTGGACACTTTTACAGCCGGATGTTCATCCTCATCAGCACGGGGTGGGGCCTGCTGACGGGCCGTAGGTACAGAAGGGGCCAAGGCCCCACTCTCCAGTTGGAGCAGAGTCAGCCTGTGGGGCCACAGACAGATAACTGGGCAAAATAGCCATAGGCCGCCCAGCGCGCACACCGTTCGCTCCCCCCGGCCCGGCCATGCCTCTGCCTGGCCACCTCCTGCCTGCCCTGGTCCTGCTCGTGGGTGAGTTGTCGGATCTGGCTGCTGAAGCCGGGTCAGCCATGGGCACAGGTGCCAGGCCTGCAGGGGAGGAGGGGTGCAAGGCCCTGGGTGAACTTGCGGGGGGGGCGGTTGGCAAGACAAGCCGTTGGGAAAGGGGCAAGAATTCTGCTTCCTCCAGCCCCCAAAGTCCACAGGTCCCAAGGCAAGACCCTAGTCCACCACTCTTAGACCAAATGGAGCCTGAGGAGGGGGCAGGGGCACCCTCCTGGCAGCCCCTCCAGTTCCTTATTGGGCCCTGGCTCCCCTCCTGGGGGGCTGTCCCATGGTGGGGGCCCTTGGTCCCATACTCACATACCCACCGCCATCCCACCACGCAGCCACCCTCTCCCAGGCCAGATGTACTCTGCCTGGCCCCGACTGGGAGCCCCGGGTGGCAGGACCCAGCCCCCTCCCCACCTGACCTCTTGGCCCGGGCCCCAAAGCAGGAGACCAACGTTGTGGGTTGCCTGGGAGTGGGAGGTCACCCTGCCTCCAACCACCTGGCTGTCTCTCTGCTAGCAGCTGGGCCCCCAGGCTGGGCCTGGATCCCCAACAACTGCAGGGCCCCCCGCGAGGCCACGTGCAACTTCGTGTGTGACTGTCCAGGCTGCTCCGAGGAGACCCAGTGTGGTAAACTGGGGCTGGGCGGGGGGCAGGCAGGCCCACCCTCTGCAGGCGGCCGCTGACCCCCCGCTCTCCAGGTTACCACGGAGCCTCGCCCGCCCTGGGCGCCCCCTTCGCCTGCGACTTCGAGCAGGACTCCTGCGGCTGGCAGGACATCAGCACCTCAGGCTACAGCTGGCTTCGAGACCGGGCGGGAGCTGCCCTGGAGGCTCTGGGGCCACGCTCAGACCACACTCTCGGCACGGACCTCGGTGAGGCCGGGCGGGTCTCCGGGATGCCCCCTCCCCTCTACTCCCGGCCCCGTGTCCTGACCTCTCTGCTGGGCCAGGCTGGTACATGGCTGTTGGCACCCACCGTGGGAAAGAGGCCTCCACCGCAGCCGTGCGCTC